GTTAGATATTCATGCAGTATAACATCACAGTTGCCAAAACTTGGCTGAATGCACAAATTTGTCAAGCCTAAAGAATATTCTAAAACCTGATCATCTAAAATATGCACGAGCCAATTAAAAAAAGACTGAGGAAAAATGGTGATACCTAAATGATGTCTCAAGATGGGGCTAGTCTGGAAATTGAGTAAATATCTCCAAGGAGTGAGATATTTACATTTAGTGAGTTATAAGCACCCATATTTAGGCAATCCTGTGATCAAATTAAGTCAAAATTCACTGTAAACTGATTGTCTCCTCTACTAATTATATTATCATAAATGCTACATTTTCTCTCTTCCCCAAAAACCTTTTGAGGTTCTATGTTATTAACTATCAAGAGTTGAAATAGGGTGCTATTTACACAACACACTGAGGAAGAAGTTTACTGTATAGAATTAACAGGCTTGAAAGTGAAAATACTCAGGGCCTTTTGATTCCTGACTTTTTAAAAAACTTTTTGTCATGTACTTTTTTTTTTTTTTTTTTTTTTTTTTTTTTTTTGAGACAAGGTCTCTCTGCAGTTCAGGCTGGCCTTGAGCTCACTTTGTAGCCCAGGCTGGTCTCGAACTCCCAACAGTCCTCCTGCCTCAGCCTCCCTGAGTTCTGGCATTACAGGTGTGAGCTACCACGCCTGGCTCTTTTGTCATGTAGTTTTAAAATCGAGCTTGTATGGTTGTAGTCTTCTAATTAATAGGAAGCAGATACAGACTGACAGGACCTGATGTAAGCCAACACATTTTGGAATTTGAAATTTTTTTTATCAGACCATTTGGTGAGGTTGGGGCAGAGGAGGAAGGTCGATATCCAGTTTGGATTGTTTTGCAATGAAGATTTGTTTTTCTGATGAGAAAATGGCTATATGATACAGAATATTTGTACAGGAAAGTGTTGGGAAAACGACTTCTACGATGTACTGAGACAGGTTATTTTATGAAACTTCCAGCTGAGGACTTGGCCTCCATCCTCTCTCCAGATGCTCAGACAGCTCTTGGTACGGACGTTATCCCTGCTAATGCCAAAGGTGGCAGGCAGGGTGACTTGCTGCAGGGCCATGGTAGAAGAAGTTGGGTGAGTTTTGATTGAAGTAGTCTAACTCCAGAGCATTTGTTGTTCTTCATGATGATGGGTTCTTTGGGATTTCTTTCTGGAGTTTCTTTTAAATATTTTACAAGTATGAAGGCAGAAAAATGTATGTGTTAGACTCAAATATTCTTTATACCTTGTGCGGTTCTCATTATTAGGGCAAAATTCCTGAGATAACTGCTTAAAGGAAGAAATGTTTATGTGGCTCATGGTTTCACAGGTTTCAATCCATAGTCAGCTGACTCCAAAGAAGAAATACATTGCAAGGATATGACAGAGGAAAGCTTTTTTAACTCATGGGTTCCAGGAAGCAGAGTGAGAAGGAAAGGGCCACAAAGAAAGTTAGCAGTGGCAAGATATGCTCTTCAAAGACACACTCTCAGTGTCTTAATTCCTCCAATAAGTCCTCACCACCTGATAGCCCATCTGTCTATGAATTGTCAATGAATTTATCCCTTGACAAGGTTACTGCCCTCCTAATCTACACCTCTCCAGGGATCTGTTCATCCAATCAAGTTTACAATCAAGATTAATTCCATGCCATGTGAAGAGTATCCTGACTGTGAAAAAGGGCACAGTCAGAAAAGGGCCCATCTCATTTCCACTGGCTACCAAATGTATGTCCTCAGCCTAGTGACTCCATCTGTCATTTCACAGTTTTGATCCAGTAGAGGTAGTTGTAACTCTGGCAGCCCTTTCAGAGAGTCCACTCCTATCGTTTTTCCCAAGATTAGATGTGGATGATTTTTTATATTCCTTATCTGTTAGAAATAGCTTGGGTGAATCTTTTGTCTGCAGCTGAACGCTCTCTCTCTCTCTCTCTCTCTCTCTCTCTCTCTCTCTCTCTCTCTCTCCATGACTGCACAGTGTTTATAATTAGAATCAGGTTTATAAGTTACTTTTTTCAACTTCATATTTCCTCATCAACATTTCACAGATTTTAAAACCAAGTGTTTACTGATTTCATAATATTTTTTCATATAAATGTAGCATCATTTATTTTCTATTCCCATGAAAAACAGTTTATTTTTTCTGTGTTTTACTAGCACTAGATGAGTACTTTAACGGAGTATATTAGTTTTCAGTTTGTCTTGCTACAGACTTAGTGGCTTAAAATAGCTTAAATTTATGATCTTACAGTTTTGAGGCCACAGTTCTGGAATAGGTCTCATTGTGCTAAAATAAGATGTTAGTAGGGCTAGCTATATGCAAGCTGCAAGGCCTAGGAGAAAATGAATTTTCTTGCATTTCCCAACTTCTGGAGTCTGCTCACATGTTTGACTCATGGCTGCCTTCCATCTACAAAGCCAGGATAGTGGTTAAGCCCATCTCATACCGAATTACCCAGACCTTTACTCTCCTGCCTTCTTCTTTGACCTATGAGGACCATGGTTATTATATTGGGTCTATTTGTGGATAAACCAAGATAATTTCCCCACCTCAGTGTCACGTGACTATAGTGACCTCAATTCCCTGAGACCTAATTCTCCTTTGCCATATAAGATCACGTGTTCACAGGTTCCAGGATTGGGACTTGAGGGGACAAGTGTTTGGGGTGCCATTATTCTATCAAAAGCAAAGTAATTATGCCTCTAGGAGTCCAGCCTGTAGAAAAAAATCAAGGGTGCAGATAAAAGGAGTTTTGTTTTAAGGCTTTGACATGTCAAATATAATTGTACCAAGTTATATGCTGTCAGCAAATTTAAAGAGTTCCCATATCATCCGCAGCATATCATCACTAGTATTTATTGCTATCTTTCAAAATCTTTCTGGCTCAGGGGATTATTATCATAATATATGCACATGATAGAAAATTGAGAGTTCAAAGCATACCTAATGGAAAATAAATCTACTCACCTGCATCCTCCCAGCTCCCCCAGAGGCTACCATGGCTACCAGGTCTTATATATCACTGTAGAGATGTTTTGTATACACAGAAGCACACATGGGGTGTGTCCCTCCTCTTCACACAAATGGTAGTGTACTGTGCACATTACTCACATAGCCTCCTAGGCTTTTCAAATATGATCGATGTGGGAAGATAAATGTACCACCTCTGATCTGAAAGTTCTATATTTTACAAAGTAGCCACTATGAATTGTACTTTATTTTATTTTGTGAATGACAGGCCATGTAGAGACTTTCTCACATTTTACTTAAATGCATGAATGCATTGGAACTGTACTTTGGGTAGCTGCAAAATTTCAGTGTCTAAAGGCATACTGAAATACATTTAGTCTTAGAGGAGACATATATGACTCCGTCACTCAGAACTGCATTTATGGTATGTGAAATGGATGGTATGTTTTATAATGAAAGATCTAGCTGAGAAAAACATAACTGTGAAGTATCAGGCTGCAGAATGATGTAGATTTCACTACTATGGATTAATATTTGTATAAAGAATTATACTGCCACTATATCTAATATTAACTTTCTGAAACTTTTTGAAGTATTCTCTGACTGTGTTTTGGAAGTTAAACGTTTTGATAGAAAAAAAAGTTCTCACTATGAAAGAAATTCAACCTAGGTTTTTATACTCAAACAATAAACATTTCTGAACATTAAGGAAGGAAAAATCCATTATTATAATAGTAGCAAATATTGGACACCTGGGAATAAGTTGAATAATAAATATTAAACAAGTAAAATAAGATGAAGTTTTATAAAAGCGATGAATAAATGAAGGAATGCAATTTTTGGAAAATGGACCCAGTACTGTAAAAGATGCAAATCTTTCCTAATTTCTAAATTTAAGATAAAATTATTTAAAACCAGAAGGTTTTACAGAAAATTACCAAAATGATGCTAAATTTTATCTGGTAATTTAACTGCACCACTTCATAGAAAAAGTAACTAAGGAAATTTGTCCTTTGTCTTTCAGATGTTATTCTGTATTGCAGTTTATTTATTTATTTATTTGGTATCAGGAGTCAAACTCACAACCTTGCACTATAGGCAGGCACAGTGCCACTGAGCTATATCCCTGGTGCTGTGTTATAAATTTATAATAATTAAAATAGCATGCTTCTGGGACAGAACTAAAAGGACTACAGAATATGGAGTCCAGAATGAATTCAAATTTATATGAAAACACAATAGATGCAAAATAAAATCCTTGAATCATACAAGAAAGATGTAATTATCCATAAATACATTGGGCCAATTGGGCTCATCTTTGAAAATGAAACAATTAGTATTCTACAATGAAGTAGTAAATTCTGATAGATAAGATCTATTTATAAAACATAGAACCATAAACATTTATGAAGGATATTTGCTAGAATGTACTTTTATAATTGCAGAAACAGGTTGTAATCTTATATAGTCTTAGGAAAAGAAAAGAAGGGAAAGTCTTTCTAAGCACAAAATGACCATAAGACTCAAAAAGGAAAAGTTTGATTGCTTTGAATGTCTAAAAATTAAAACTTTTTATATAGTAAAGCTACTATAAACAAGCTTGAAAAGAAATGAAAAACTTATGAAGAGACTTGCAGCATATTATTGGTAATAACCTTCTATTTTTACTTGTAAATGACTCCTATACTTAGTACAAAAATGATAACTCAAAAAAATTAGGCAAAGGATATGCTAACACTCATACATGTGCCAGTATTATTTGACAATTCAAAGCCCAGGAATTTAGTTAGCTCAATGGCTTAAAAACCTGCCTGACAAGTTGAGATCATGAGTTTGATCCCTGGTACCAAAATAAATAAAGTGAGTCTTCTGAAGAATCCAGAAAAAATAAAGAATTTTTATTTGACAATTCTACAGAAAATAAAAATACAAAAAATAAGTAAATATGATTTAAAAATGTTTATTTTCAATAATGATTAACAAAGTATATGTTAAGATGATGAATTTTTAGCCTGTTGAATTTCTCAAAATTAAAAATAATATCAGTAAGCACTGTTGGTAATGGCTTAAAATATAAACAAAGTGATAAACTGTTCAGCGAAATATATGTATTAGGTTATTATTTGGATGTATTTGCAATATTAATACAGATTTAAATTTATATACCCTTTTACACATTTTCATGAGTATTTCTATAGATTAATTGGCTAAAAGCAGAACTGCTGGGATGAAAGTGGTTATAAATGATGTTTATTTTAATATTCTTTATCAGTTCAAAGCACTTAATTGTTAACATATTAAATACAAAATTAGAAAAGAATTTTTAAAACAAATAGATATTTTCACCCTTATAAGTATAAATGTCTATGATGGACTCTGTTATTTTCCCTGTAAAAATCATCCATGTATATATAAACTTTATATATCATTTAAGAGGGCCCTGGAATGAGAAGTCAAGATTGGTCAGGGTAAGGTGTGGCTTTTTACTTTTAACTCTGTGCAATCCAAATCTGTCTGGGTTTTTACTCATCAATGAGCCACATTGTTATAAAATCTAGCCAATAAGCACACGTCTCTATTTTCTGGCCAGCAGCCGTAAGTATGTCACGTGGAGTAAATGAGATGATGAACTTACAGCAGTTCATGATTCAATGCCGGCTGGTACTTGGACATCTTGAATGTCTCATGAGGGAATCTTTCAGTTGTGTGGACAAGGGGATACAGCAGTCTGGATGCAGTAAACATTAGGGCCTTTGTCACAGATGCTTAGTTTTGTCACCTTAACAAAGAGATGTTATAATACAGAGACTTAAGACTACAACGCTTAATTATCTTCTGTGTAGTAGTCCAGAGTGGGTTGATAGGTTCCTGGCTCTACATGTCACTCAGGAATCCAGAGTTTCTTCACTGTGAGTGTCATGGGGTGTTGTCTTCATTTGGAGGTTGAAGTTGAGGATCCTGGGAGGGGGATCACAGAAGAATATATGTGCTTTGTTTGAAGGGTAATGCTGAAACTGAGACATTTTTCCTTACCCTCCTTTGAGGATCAAGGCACAAAGTCTAGGTGTAGAGATGCCTGAAAACAGGTGTCTCCCAGGTCCTCCAACAAAGGACTTACTGTAAAGGAATAGAAGAGCTAGTATTGTTGAATACCTAATATTCCCCTCCACAACTGGTGTTGCCACTGTACAAAAATAGCCTAAGTGCATTGTTAGTCTTCATCTCTACTTCAGGAAAGTCTTGCCATTGGACTTTATAGCCCCAGAAACCATGGAAGTTCATTGGCATGGCCTCATCTTCCTGCCAGCACTTGTATGAACATGGTCAAATATAGCTTCTGTTGTTGTCTTTTCCAGGACTTGAGAAGGTATTCTGTCCCTCTTTATACTCTTTCTTTGGATTTGCCCAATTTCTGCTATGAAATGAACAATCAATTTCTACTATACTTAACGAGAGTCATTTGGAGCACGGGCAAGGACTGCAGTGTGTGTGTGTGTGTGTGTGTGTGTGTGTGTGTGTATGTGTGTGACTGTCAAGGGAAGGTGATGGATGGGGATATATTGTTCCCTGGATGTCATGACAAGCATGATGAATTAATGAGTTAGAGGGGATTTTTCTGGGCCAAGAAAGTTGTCAAGGGATGGAGTATGGAGAATCCAGTCAGAGCTTTACATACAGTGAAGGCCAATCAGAAGGGCCTGAGCCAGGGAGACAGTCTTAAAGTTGAGCAGTCTAGGGGCTGGTAATTGGAGATGTTTCATTTTATGATAGGGAGAGCAAAAGGAGAGAGCAGAAGGGAATTCCTGTGATTTCTACTTATATATCTTACACACCTTCAGGAAGCCACAGCCATATAAGCAGTTAACTCTACACAACCAGAGGGTTTCCCATAGACAGGTGAGTGCACATACGATCACAAGTTCAGCGGAAGTGGCTGAGATGGGATGCAAATGGAATGACTATGCCCTGGAGGATACTCATAAAGGACCTCAGGCTGGCCTAGTATGCGCAAAGAGCGCTGATAACCACTTCCTGCCTGGGCTGCAGGCCTTCCTCCACCTCTCTAATGCTGTTGTGCCTGATGTCCCTGGTCTGGAATGTTTTGTAGAAGTGAAAAACTGTGTTGGGAAAGAAAGTGCTGGTCCCAGGGTTTGGGAACTTTCACTCTGTTTTAATGAGTGCTTTCCTCCTTGATGCTCTGTTTGCATTTAGTGTTTCCTTGGAAACCATGCTCATAATGCTTCACTCACCCTTGGCTCCATTCAAGTGCATTTTTCTGTGGAAGTCACAAGGTCTGTTCTGTTCATTTGTGGCCTTTTTGCTTCTCCTTGCTTTTCTCCATGGTTTCTAAAGTGTGACCATTTAAGAGGGCCTTTGTCATGCCAAGATTTATGCCTGTGCTCTTGGCAGGAAGAGTTGTTAACCTTTGCAATCTGTGCCCCTGAAGGAAAAGGATGTGCTCCAGTGACACACTTTGTGTCAGAAACTTTGCTAGCAGAGAAGAAATGACATCGACAGCACACATGCCCAATTCTGTGGGGCAAGAGGGCACTCCTTTGGTAAAGTGGGGAGGCATAAACTGTCAATTTCCTTGCCAGGGGAAAGACTTACAGACATCACCAAGACCTTCACCTTCACCTCTCATAGGCTGCCCTGCATTTCTCATTACCATTTTGCCTTCTCTATTTTCTACACTCCTGCACAACCACTACTGGCTCCGATTTCCAAAGGAAGAATGGTTGTCTTGCTCTGGGCTTAGCCACCTGAAGAAGAACAGTGCCCCCAAAGTTTCTGAGCCTCCTTTTCAGTTACTACTAATTCTTGGACCCATTCCTGAAGAGACCAGACTCAGTCCTTGGGATTCTGGGATTCTTATATAAGCTCACCTGGACATTAGTTGCAAAAGCATTTGTGTTGGTTATGAAAACAAGAGAGAGAAACCCCAATCATTCTTGGGGGTTCCTTTATTGCTTGTGGAAACACAAACACCATATTTCAGTAGGAACTTTTTCCCCATATGAAAGTGAATTGTTAAGCAACATTACATCAGTGTAAAGAATACAGAAAATACAAAAAATTGTAAAGAAGAGGGTTAACTCTACCTTACGTTCCAAATGATCACTTTTCACTGTTTGGAGTCAAACTCTAGACTTTTCCTGTGCATGCACACACATTCATACTTTTTTAAAAGTGGCTGTACTATTGATGATGTTCTATAAATCTTGGTCCATTATCTGTTGCCATATAAAACTAACCTAAAACTTAGAGGTGCAAAATAGCAACCATTGTGTTCTACTGTACGAATTCCATGAGAAGTTGAGACAAAGGACAAGGGCTTGTTTTGCTGCTGTTCTATGAAGTTTGGGGTCTTATCTGGAGAAACCAAAATGGCTAGAGATGACTGGAATACCAAGAGTCTGGAAACATCCAGAGGTATCTTTCTTCAAATATGGCAGATACCAAGGAATTCCAAACTCAGTTGGGATCGTTGACTGGAGTGCCTGTTTCTGTCCTCTCCAGGTAGCTTGGATTTCCTCACAACATGGTGTTAGGGTACCTGGCCTGGTCTTTTTATGTGGTGCCTGAAGGGTTTGAGTGTGTGTTTCAGTAAACAGTGTAGAATTTGTGTGGCTCTTTATGACCTAATCTTGAATGCCACTTCTGCCGTACTTTATAGGTCAAAGGAATAACAAGCACACCCAGATTCTAGGGGAAAGGACAAGACTGCACTCTCTACAAAAGGAGTGCCAAAGACCTTTGAGGTGTATTTTAAAACTGTAACTGCATTTTATTATTTTTTATATAATGTGGACAGGGGACTGCACTGAATTGTATCCTCCTAAAAAGATAGGTTCAGTTCAACCCTCAGTATCTATGAATGTGATCATATTTCAAAATAAGTTCTTTACAGATGTAATCAATTTAAAATACAGTCATTCTGGATTAGGGTGGTCCATAACCTAATCTCTTCTGTGCTGTGAAGAGAGAAATTTGAACACAGACCATAGAAAGGACATCATGTAATGATGGAGGCAAACATCGGTGTGACACATCTACAAAACAAGGGAGGACACCAAGGATGGCTGGCCACTCCAGAAACCTAGAAGAGCCTAGCAAAAACCCTCTCTTGGAGTCCTCAGAGAGGGGATGGCCCTACTGACACTTTGATTTTGGGCTTCTAGCTTTCAGAATAAACATCTCTTGTTTGTAGCTGCTGTGGTTTGTGACAAGTACTTCATCACAGTGGCCATAGGAAGCAAACACAGTTACCCACATCTATACTGATCTGCATCATCGTTTGGTAGGTGTGCAGTATCCATTGAATGCTGGCCTTCATGTAAGTAATCAGTCTGAGGTAGGGCTAAGAAATGTGGCACTAATTAGCATAATGCCATAATCCATACAATGAAGTGGATGACTGAGAATCCTTCTAATAGACTTCATTGTTTCCTCCATTGGACAGAACACAGTTATAGAGTTAGCATTCAGTAAATATTAACTTGTTACATATAAGAGTTTACCAGAAAATATACAGGCTGATTTCCTAGAAGCATAATACCAAAGGATTCAAAGTCTAAAGAATATTAAGGTCCAGGTGTGGTGACACATACCTGTACTTCCAGCACTCTGGGAGCCTGAGGCAGGAGCACTGCAAGTTCCGGCCCACCCGGGGCAAGTTAGTGACTTAACAAGATCCTGTATTAAAATAAAAAATATATAAAAAGGTCTGGGGATATAGTTCAGTTTGAAGACCTTGAGTTCAATTCTCAGTAGCACTTTTTAAAAAAGGATATTAAGAATTTAAAGATTTTTGTCCCTTCTAGAGACTTCGTTAAGTAACTTACAGAACAGATAAAGCCTTAGCCTCAAAGAGTGTCCCTTTAAAACTTCCAATATTTTAAGTGAAAATGATTAGAATACAGGAAAATTAAAATCCATTGTTGTTTATAGACGTAATATTTCCAGTTCCCTGGCTACAAAAGCAGTTTTAAACAATCATGCCTCCTTGCCAAGTGTTAAGAAATGATTCAGAAATGCACTCCTGGCAGCTAACATCCTTGGTACATCATAGGCCTTGGTCCTCTTGAGTCTTTCTTGTTGCTCCTTTGTGAGGTCTCAGTGGGGTAAGGCCGCCCGTGTTTTTCTTCTCAAGTTCAGGTTTCTCTTTTTTCTCTCTTCGGCCCCATTTGTGACTTCCTGTGCACCCAAGGGTGGCCAGGCATAGAATAACCCTGGAAAGGAGCCGAGGCCCCGCCCTGTCTCTGGGGGTGGGAAGTCAGAGCTGCCAGGAAGCTCTAGCTGCCAGTGAGAAGGCCGCAAGCCCTACAGGGCTGAGTCTTCTAAAAATGTGCCTGTGGGGAAATAAAGCATGTTTCAATTCTAGATGCTTGATTGTGCTTTTGTCACCATCAAGGGCTCCTTGTTGGCCTAAACACACCTGTCTAGACAATTCTTTGGAGCAAGGAAAAAACTGCTTGGTTCTGATACCAGTACAGAAATCCCAAGAAATTGTGTTCACTGAAGTTTAGTTGTTGGACTGGGTGGAGATTTTCACATTTTCTGAATGTTCAGAAGCTGTGTTCTGAGAGTTGCTTCTCAGAACTTCCCTTTTTCTCTCTGGGTGAATGGGGTTACATTTGGTATCTGAATGGCGAGTTGCTTTTGCCTCTCTCTGAGCTGAGTTCTGTGCTGGTTGGGTAGGGCTGTGCTTTCCCATCTCTGTGCTGGCTCTCAGCTGGCAGGAGGCCCTGCCATGGAGAGCACATGAGTGGTTGGCGGCCTGGGAGAGACTGTGGTGCTGCGCATTGCCAGGTTCTGTTACTGCACAAAAGATAAGGAATTGTTTTCGTCTCCCTACTGTGTGTCAGCTGGGGATCAACCAGAAAAGCCAAGAGGACCAAGTCCTGTGATGTACCAATGATGGCAGAAAAGAAGGCTACTGTTGCAGTCACTGGTACATCTCTTACATGTCTCCCAGGATCTAGTCTCCTTTCTCTTTGTTAAGAGAATCCTGTTGTTCTTACTGTTGCTGTTGTTGTTTGAAATGGGGGAAGAAGCCTGCTCAATCCTAGGTGATTGATTTACCCATTGTGAGAACCTCCTCTTTACCTAGATATGACCATGTAAATGTCCTGGCCATTAAAGGTCTGTGAGAAGCTTGAAAAAGGTTTGTACTTTGCCTAATAAAGATGGAATATAAGAACAATAATTTATCTTTTTGTTTTTTAACTGCCTTGGGAGTTGATTTCTGGAGTTCTGGCAGTCATTTTGTGACAACAGAAAGGAAAGGCAAAGACCCGTTAATAGGCATGAAGGAACGGCTTAGGGCATCCCACAGTCACAATTGTCTTGTCAGAGAGCCCCTGGAATCACCAAAATTAGCTGTCTAACTCTTCACTTCTTTCCATTTAAATGACTCTTGATCCTGCTGATCACCACACAGCTAAATGCATTTGTAGGTAATAAATGTATGCATCTGAAATTTTATCCCACGGTACCACTACTAGGTGCTTTGAACCTAGTACACAAGAAGTCCACCTCTGTACCTACAGCCTTGGTAAACTGGCTTCCCACCAGCAAAAAATGACCTCATGTTTTATCTTTAGCACATATATAAACGTTGCATTTTATTTCTTCAACTTTCTTTTAAAGAGAAAAAAGAACAACAATAAAACAAGGATTATGATACCTCTTGCCTTGCCTTTGTTGCCGTGGGTTGCTTTTGCTATTATAGATCTTTCTGTTTCCAAATGAATTTTTTTGCTAGACTTATGAGGTGTACTAATGGTATTTTGATCGGGATTTCATTAAATCTGTATACCAGTTTTGTTAGTATGGCTGTTTTCACAATGTTGGTTCTTCCTACCCATGAGCAAGGGATATCTTTCCATTTTCTGATATACTCTTTGTGCTCTTTTTCAGAGTACTGTAGTTTTCAATGTATAAATCTTTTACTTCCTTTATTAGATTGATTCCTAAGTATTTCATTTTTTTGGGTGTTATTGTGAAGAATGAAGTTTCCCTAATTTGTCTCTCAATGAGTTTGTTGTTTGTGTACAGAAATGCTATTGATATTTGAGTATTGACTTTGTATCCAGCTATGTTACTAAATTTGCTTATTAAATCTAGAAGTCTTTTAATGGAGCTTTTGGGGTCTTCTATGTAGACTATTATATCATCTGCGATTAATGATAATTTAACCTCTTCCTTTACTATCTTTTTTCCTTTTATTTTTTCTCTCTCGTTTAATTGTTCTAATGTTTCCAGAACTATAGTGAAACAGAGTGGTGATAGGGGACGTCTTTGTCTTGTTCCTGATTTTAGATAGAAAGGTTTCAGTTTTTGTCCATTTAGTTTGATGTGGGCTGCTGGTTTGTCATAGATGCTTTTATCAGATTGAGATGAAGACAATCTACTCTGATTTCCTGCAGGATTTGTATCATGAATGAGTGTTGGACTTTATCAAAAGTTTTTCTGTTTTACTTCATTTTATAACCTGGCGATGCTTATAGTAATTTATAAAAATATTGAAATTGTCATCAAGAAGAAAACTTAAAACTCTTTCTCCTACTACTTGTAAAATTCATACTGTAGAAAGAGCTAGTTTGTTTTTCCTAAGGCTTTGCATATCTCTGACACTCTGCCCATGCCTCTAAGGGTACAAATATTGCAGATTGGGAAGCACCAATGGAAGAAGCAGAAGAGACAGAGGAGACAAGGTAAGCAGAGCTGGCACTGATAGCCTGGGTGTCAGGGTAAAGGACTGGGACTAAACTCCTTTAAAACTGGGAGATGTCACAAAACACAGAGCATCAAGGACATTGTGCAAAGCCCAGTTGTCTAAAAATTATGTGAGATAGGATTGTGACTAAGACCAGACATGGGAAGAGCTGGTAAGAGAGCAGAGTGGGTGAGATCAAGTTCAGATACGAGTGACAGACAATGAAACAGCTTAAACAGAAGGATTTTTATTCTTCTTTACTCAAGAGATGATGGCAAGTGGGGCTGAAGCCTACCATGCAGAGCAGCAAACTTAGCCACTTCAAATTTTCCCAGTGATCACTGGTTGAACAGCAAACCACCCAAATTCAGTGGTTGAACACAATTACAATTGTGTGTTCCTCATGAATCTGCAGTGCAGACAGGGCATGGTGAAGTACACTCATTCTGCTCCCTACTGCAATTGCTTTGTCGCCTGATGGCTGTGGGGCCTCCACAGCTGGGGTGTGGAACCATACACAGGACTGATCACTCACACACCTCATGGTAAATACTGGCTGTCATCTGGAACCTCATGAGGCTGTGGTTGGAAATACCGACGTGCAGCTGTTACAAGTGGCTGCTTGGCTTCCTCCCAGCATGGTAGCTGGGTGCTTAGGGGCTTCAAGAAGAAATAAAAAATGCAACCTCTCCACTAAGATTTTTCCAACATGGACTTAGAATACTTTTGACAAAGTAGCACAAGATCTGTGTTCAAGTTCAGTGGTGTAAAGTAAACCTCTTGATAGTAGGACCACTGAATGATTCTGGGGTCGTGATTTAAAACCATCATGCATTAGTCGGAACCTAGTATTAAAACCACCTCTATTGGCAAAGGAGACTGGAAAATTAAGTCTTTATTCAAGGAATAGGAGGCTTAGCTAAAAATAAGAGATTTATCACTATGGAGAAATGAGAAAAATGAATATTAAGGATAGTTAGCATTCTTTGCAATTGACAACAAACCACAAGTGACCTAAAGCTGGAATTAGTAGAGCAGGTATGGAAATGGAAAGGAAGGGGGTGAGAGATATTAGGAAATAAGAATTAGTAGGGGTTGAGATGACTTGGGCTGCCATTTATGTAGGGGTGAGGGGTTAGAGTGGGGATTGGTTTGGTTTTGCATGTGTTCAAGTATGAAATATCTGGCAAGATATTCATTCCATTTCTGGGGCCAGTCTGGTACCAGCTGAGGTTTTAGACATTAGTCAAGATCAATTTGACCTTTCCAGAGCCTAGAGAGCCAGACTCAGAAGAATCTTAAACAGAGTAGATTATAGTGTTTTTAAAATGACCACCACAAGACTGTTAGTCCCACTTCCTCCCCCAGCACCTATGACACCCCTCCAACCTAGTGAGTGCTCAATAAACAGACTGTGGTGAAGAGGCCCTGTGTGACTTCTGAGGCTATGTCAGAGAGGGATGCTCGGGCTCTGCTGGGACACATGTATTTGGAGTCCTGAGGTGTCCCAGAAGGAGTCCAGCCTACCCTAAAACCACCATGCAGGAAAGAAAGAGGTGTCCAAGCAGCTCCCATGGGTGTTTGAGTGAAGGAATGAAGGACATGTCACCCTTAAAGATTTAGCATAGCAGTTGTTCCAAGATGAGAGCACTTGAGAAAAAGAGGCACAGAAAGGACTAACTAAGCCTTTTGGTCTAAATCAGGCGGTAAGTCTTGCCATGAAGAAAAGCAAGTTGTCCTCCACTTGCCAAGTTGCCAAGATGAGAAGACCCTTGTCACCAGTGCCTGAAAGTCAATTCTGCAATGGACACACACAAATAAAATTACTAAGCCCTCTCTTATCTTCTGCTAGCTTCACCCTTCCCCATATTTCCTAGTGACTTCCTGTAGTTTATTGCCTTTAGCACAAACTCATTTGTCTTGTCATTTTTTTCCCAGAAAGTTATCATTTCTTTGCCTAACAGGTATAAAAACTTTCTGTTTTGGTCATGTTTTTAGGCCTCGAGTTTCTTATGAAGGTCCCTGGGTATATGCAAAAATAAATAAAACATTTGTGATTTTTTCTATTAATCTCTCTTATATCTGTTTAATTCTTAGATTCATCTGAAGACTCCCAAAGGAAGAGAGAACTTATTTTTTCCCCAGCACTAACGTTAGTGGCAGACATCTACATGAATTTGGCTTCAGATGAATCCAGCGTCTAACCTTCCAATTATCCAGCAAAGCCCCAGAATAGGGACATCTGAAACTAGCTTTCCCCATACTTTGTGTGATCCCTGACCCTGGGATTCATGAGCATAGTGAGTGGTTGTCCTATGCTGCTCCTCAACAATAATAATTGGGGTACCAAAGTGCACGAGGCCTTTGTACATGGCAGGTCTCCCCAAAGCTTAGGATTCTTCCAGTGCAAGACTGGGATCCCTTTTAGAAGAGCAACTGATGGAAATAAACTTCTTGGCAAGTGTTTCACTTCTGAAGCCCAATGGATGCAAAATGGATGGATCCCATCACAGCATATACCAG